AAAAAAAAAAAAAACCTTAAGGCCCGTGAGATAGCTCAGTAGCTTAACTGCCTGCCTACCAAGTGCAAGGTCCCAAGTTTAATCCCCAGTACCACAAAATAAATAATCTTTATTTTCTTGGCAGAACCGGGGATTGAACTCAGGCCCTTCTGCTTGCCAGGCAAGTGTTTACAGAGCTATCTCCCTGGCCCCTAAATAAATAATTTTCAATGCCACCAATAATCAATAAAAAGAGGGCTGGGGGGGCCGGGGTGATGGCTCAGTGGAATAAGCGCTTCCCTGGCAAGTGCAAGGGCCTGAGTTCAATCCCTGGTTCCGCCAAAAAGGAAAAAAAAAAGAGGGCTGGGGACATAGCTGAGTGGCTTAAGTATCTACCTGGCAAGTGCAGACCCCAGTTCGACCTCTGGTACTGCATGCCATAACCAGAACTTGTATCAAAAAATAATAATAAACTAAAAGATAACCCACTAATGAGCCAGTGAGATAGCTCAACAGACTAAAGCTCCTGCTTAGGCAAGAGAAGAGACCACATGCTGCCTAGCCCCACCCCCAAGGACAGCTGAGCAAGCCACCAAGTCCTGGTGTGGTGGCACAGGCCTGTAATCCCAGTGCTGGGAAGGCTGAAAACAAGGATCATCATGAGGATCTGTGTAGTGAGACCCTGTACCAAATACACAAATGAAAAAAAAAAAGTCAGTGTAGTAAATAAAGTGCCATGTTCTGCTTTGCGGTGTTCTTTTTAAAATGTGGTAGGAAAATCTCAGATGTGTTCACTGTAAATAGAACAGTATAGTTTACTCTCATGTACCCATCATGCAAATCAACATTTTGCAATTGTTTCAGCCGTACATCCACCTATTCCTTACCATCCTTGATCATTTATATAGCTCTTTTTAAGGAAAATTTGTAATATCAGCAGGGGTACAGGAACTGCACAGAGGACCTCACACTTGCCAAGCAGGTGCTGCACCACTGTTAAATCCCTAGCCCAGGGGCTGGTGAGATGGCTCAGTGGTCAAAGGACCTACTTAGAACAAGCTTAGCTAAAGCACAGGGACCACGGTTCAATCCCCCAGCACCACATGCCAGCCAGCCCCGCCCCCTGGTGGGCTGAGCTGGCCACACACACACACACACACACACACACACACATAAATAAATAAATAAATAAAATTAAAGGCATGGTGGCACATGCCTTTAATCCCAGCACTAGGGAGTCTGTGGCAGGAGGATCACTGCAAGGTCAGGCCAGCCTGAGCTACAAAGTGAGCTGGAGGCCAGCCTGAGATGCATAGTGAGACCCTGTCTCAGTATGTAAATAAATAAATAAATAAATAGGGCTGAGGAGATAGCTCAGCGGTCTGACCATGCCTGGCAAGCTCGAGAACCCGGTTCGATCCCTGGTACCGCAGGTTGTGCCCACCTGAAACCAGGCATGGTGGCACATGCCTGTCATTACAGCACTGGGGATTCTGAGACAGACATCACTTCAAATGCAAGCCGCGCAGTAAGATGCTGTACCAAATTAATTAATTAAAAGATTTTTTTAAAACATTAGATGTTTCAAGCGCCTTTGCAGAGGCTGGAGGTTCTATCCCCGGGCCTGGTGTGCCAGCCCAGCCCCCGGGGCAAGCTAAAATGGCATTTGGAGTAGTGGCGGCACGCCGGGGGCATGTAATCCCAGCTCTTTGGAGGATGTAAACTGGCGGATCACTATGAGTCCAATCTAGTAATGAGACCCCGTACACCCTGTAGACCCTTCCCTAAAATGCAAATAAATAAACATTTGATGTTTCATTTAAAAAATAAAAATAAATTACTTTAAGTGCAACCATGCGTAGCTGGACCCTTAACTTTAACTTTTTGTCCCCGAGACATAATCTCACCATGTTGCCCAGGCTGGGTTCCAACTTTATTTGCGGTACTGGGAATTAAGCCCAGGGCCTTGGCACAGAGCTACATACCCGGCCCTTTTGCATTGCAGTATGTGAGATGGAATCCAGCTAAAGCACTTAGGTGTCGGTCAGACTGTGCTCAATTTGGATTCTCGCCTCTGCAATCCAAAGTGCTGGGATACAGACGTGCGCTACTACGTCTGGTTCAGCGCTTTCTATCCTCGTCCCTGCTTCCCGGAGAGCTGGATCATAGAAGCGCCCCAGCGCGCCTGAGTAAAAATTTTCCGCTTCTATTAAGTACGGTGAGTTCGCCCTCTGAAGCCGCTCAAGATAAGCGAAATCCGAAAGACGGGTTGTGAAGGACCACCAACCAGAAGGAGCCATTTAATCCACCCCTAATAGACTCCAGGTCCATGGCTCAGCCTTGAGAGTCTAAATCCTGTCTCCACGGCACCCGGAAGAGACGTAAAAGGGGCGGGGCAACATCTCACAAATCGGACCGTGAGCCTTCGCGTTTCCTCTTTCCTGCCGGCGCCGAGCGATGGGTGAGTTCTCGTTAGCTTTAGTGGTGCGTCAGGGGTGAGTTTAATCCGGTGCCATCCTCTCCCGCACCCAATTTATCAATGTAGACACCCGGACCCCCTGCCTTGGGCACCTAGAAGGGGTGATGGCCTTCGGATTTTGAGTGCCGAGGCTCGCTGTAGGGTCTTCAATGCGCCCGCAGCTGCCAGTGGTACCAACATGGCTGCCGCTGCAAGCAGCAGGCCAGGCCGCACGTGTATGATGACAAGTCGGTAATGCTGCATATTCCCGACCGAGCAGTGGGGAAGCCAACCTTGGAGAGCTGAGCGTGCGGCCGGCCGTTGCGGGGCTCCGGAGGGGCGAGCTGCCCGGGCTTGGTCCCTGTGGCTCAAGCTTTCCACCCCGCTCCCTCATGCAGGCATCTCTCGGGACAATTGGCACAAGCGCCGCAAGACCGGGGGCAAAAGAAAGCCCTATCACAAGAAGCGGAAGTATGAGTTGGGGCGCCCTGCTGCCAACACTAAGGTGGGTGATGTCTGGGCTCCGATCTCGGGAGGTCGCCTTTCCTAGCTGCAGTGTGGTTGGCCTTCGCGTGGGCTGTTGTGGGTTTTGTCTTGGGCCCTGAGGTTCCTTTGTTTTAGGGTCTGAGCATCCTTTCTTACTAGTAGTGCTGAGTAAACTGAGCGGACAAGATGTGTGAGCCATGCCGCAAGAGCTTAGGTCAAAAAGCAACCTTGTGTAGTGGGGACCAGGCAGGCTTCTGGTAGGGCAGCCTCCGCGTGATAATCAGAATTCTGGTATTTTTGTGATTAGTTTTCAGTGTTCGGGGACGGGTTTTCCCACTTAGAGGCAACAAACGTGATGAAAAAGTATCCTTAGGCGTGGTTGTGGCCGTCTTGGCCACTTGTGTGCCACTTGCCAATGCAAGGACTTGTCATAGTTACACTGACCCGTTGCCTCAGTTTCTCCTGTTGCCCTCCGCTTGTGCCTGCAGTACTTGCTAACCTAGTTCTTCTATTCCCTAGATTGGCGCCCGCCGCATACACACAGTCCGAGTTCGAGGAGGCAACAAGAAGTACCGAGCCCTGCGGCTAGATGTGGGAAACTTCTCCTGGGGCTCTGAGTGTGAGTGGGGCCTGTGGAAGTGGGTGGTTGCCAAACACCTCTGAAAAAGGTGAGGTTATAATATAAAAAAGAGCTGATGCGTTGGTTGGAATTCCCAGAGATTCAGGAGAGATGGGAGGGTAAATTAGTTGTCCTGTGGTCTGCTTAACTAACTCGATTCTAAATCTCCTGAGCAGGTTGTACTCGAAAAACAAGGATCATTGATGTTGTTTACAATGCATCCAATAACGAGCTGGTCCGCACCAAGACCTTGGTGAAGAACTGCATTGTGCTCATTGACAGCATGCCGTACCGACAGTGGTACGAATCCCACTATGCACTGCCCCTGGGCCGAAAAAAGGGGGCCAAGCTGGTGCGTGTTCCTTCTGTAGGAGGTATGGGGAGGCTGCGGGAGGCTGCCTGACTTGAGCTGGTGACAACTGTCCACTTCTGTTGCTGAAGGGGGAAGAGATGAAGTATTTAGTGCTGAGGAAGGAGACATTGCAATGTTCAGGTTTTGAGAAAGTTCTGATGGTCTTTCTTCCCTGAGCTTAATCATCTGTATTCCCTTCACTTAGACTCCTGAGGAGGAGGAGATTTTAAACAAAAAACGATCAAAGAAAATTCAAAAGAAGTATGATGAAAGGAAAAAGAACGCCAAGATCAGCAGTCTTCTGGAAGAGCAGTTCCAGCAGGGCAAGCTTCTTGGTGAGACAGCCATTGGGGAAGAAGGGCTCACAGCGTTGCAGTGCGCACCCTACATCTTTATCTTTGCCTTCGTTTGACTACCTACCAGTTGTGAGGCCTGGGCCTCTGCGCCCCAAGAGTATTTCCAAAAGTCCATTCTCAAGTTAATGGGGGCTGTCTTAATGATGAAAACTTTGTCCAGTTCTGCTACTGACTTTTAAGTGGTGATAAAGTATATCTGAGAAGACAAGGGCTTCATGCCTGCCCCCAGGGCACCAGAATCAACGTGGGTTGTTGTTTTTAAAAGGAAACGGTTGGGTGGAATCTGTTTGTCATTTATAGTAAGGACCACATACTCTTTTGCAGCCTGTATTGCATCAAGACCAGGCCAGTGTGGCCGATCAGATGGCTTTGTGCTAGAGGGCAAAGAGCTGGAGTTCTATCTGAGGAAAATCAAGGCCCGGAAAGGCAAATAAACCTTCCCTCCTGGTTTAACTCATGTAATAAAGGTGTTTATTGTTCTATGTGCATGTTATATGAATATTCTATAAATTTGCAAAGCTCCTGTGTTCCTTTTCTTTACATACGGACCTGGGGTGTGAGTGTTTAAGATTGTGTGCGCTGGAGATCAAGCCAGGGCCTCGTGAATGCTAAGCATGTATTCTGCCACCACTATCTCCAGCCAGGTAAGTTCATAATCTAAATTTGTGGATTGTATCAAAACTTGGAGGTTGTGAGCAATCTACTGGATTTCTGAAAGGTTACGTTTGGGTCCCTATACTCCTTAACACCCAGAATTTTAAAATATTTAGCATGCTAGTAGTTTTTCCATTAAGTCTTTTGTATTCTCAACTTGCCCCTATCAGCATTTTAAGTTTCTATATAAGGCCTGTTTGAAGATTCTCTTGTCTGCTACAAGCCCCTCAACTTGACCATCTTAGCAAATTTGTCTATGTACAATGCTTTCTTGAGAGATGGTGGTCTATATATGCTGGCCTTAAATGTACTATATATAACCTGAGCTAGCCCCAAACTGTGGCAGTCCTGCCTCAGTGTGCTGAGTGCTGGGCCTGTAGGTGTGTACCACAATCAATACCAGGCTTCTGACCCATATTCTTGAGTTCCACATGTAATGTTGCTATCCTTTTTTTTTTTTTTTTAATTTTTTTTTAATGTGTGTGTCTGTGTGTGTGGCCAGCTCAGCCCACCAGGGGGCGGGGCTGGCTGGCATGTGGTGCTGGGGGATTGAACCGCGGTCCCTCT